TGGCCAGCGATCATCCTAGTCGCAAGTTTCTGAAGCTTTTCTATAAACATGACATCACTACGGAGTTACGGTGCCCAGGCCTAAACACAGTAATCCAGATGTGGCCTAACCACTGCTTTATATAGTGGCAAGAATCCTTCGGCTTTAGTGTTAGTCAGTGCCCTCCTAACATGAAACAACTTGTCGAGCATTATTGGAAGCGTGGAGACACTGCGGAAGGCTTTACACTGTTCACTATGATGCCACCTAGATCGCTGGGTTGCTCAACACATTGCAATGATAGTGCTCTCACAGGAAACTGCAATACAATTCCGCTACTACTATTGGTCAATAGCTGACATTTATTTGCATGCAGGGATAGAGCACATTGGCTCGAGCAGTGCACCACAGTGAAGCTGTTCTTAGCCAATGTTTCTCGGTTTCCCCTACTAACTAGCTTTAAGTCATCTGCGAAGATATAGCAGGGACCCGTAAGAGGAGGAGCTAGATCAGTTCTAAACATAGTCAACAACCATAGACCCGGTACCAAACATTGGGGAACACCGCTGAACACATGGCGCACGCTAGAACTCGCTTTCCCAACCCTGACTGAATGTCCTGCAACGTAAGCATTCAGAGCCGCAGTAATGGTTGAGGACGCAATCCAAACCATGTCATCTTCTCAATTAAAATACGGTGATTCACTGAGTCAAAAGCCTTCCTGCGATCCAAATAGCACACCTCTACCGACATGTCACTATCCAGACATCGGGTAATCTGATCTAAAAACCACACTGCATTGGTAAGACCCGACTCCTTTTAAGAAAGCCATGCTGTTCCGCTTAAATTAGACTGTGCTATGGCAAGTGCTCACAGATCCCGATTTCTTATAAGCTTTTCCAAGCAGTTCAGTATAATGCCGGTCATACTAACAGGCCTATAGTTAAGAGGCACCGACTTAAAACCCCGTTGTGAATGTCAACGATTGTCGCCTCCTTCCAAGCAAGTGGCAGGTTGCCTTCTTGAAGAGACTGGTTGAATAACTCCGGGACAGAATACTGAAGGATAGCAGCCAGCAGCTTATCTATGGCGGAATGTACACTGTCAGGACCAGCTACTTTATAAGCGTTCAAACTGGTGAACACTGTACAGAGCTCTAACACATTGAGAAAATTTTCCCCCATTGTATATTTACTTGAGCAGTGCGGTTGTGCTGGCAAGATTGACCCATTATCCTTCCGAAGCAGATTTCGGTAGACACGCAGCAGCGCTTCTACTTTATTGACGTCGTCTACAGCCTGGCTGCCGTCCTACTTGGTTAGATAGCCCACCATCTCTTTTAGAGAAGCCTTTGATTAGACATAACATTAATAACATAGGAGTGTTTTCGCAAATTTGGCCAACCTAAGCTCATTTGAGTTCTTCTCGTGCCGCAGCAACTTTACACATTTTTACTTCAGCCAACGTCGATAGCCCGTGTTTCTTGACATTTTGTCCGCTCATAGTTGCACCTCTTTATCGCTCTGGCAATCTTTCGCCCCACCATCGGGTTTGCTAAGCTGTCTCCTGAGGAGTAGAGGAGCAAATTCGCTCAGTAACTGCACCAGCACACGTATGATTGGAAGCCACCTCTGTTCCAACGTAGCCTGGTCCGGCTCAGGGATCCAAGTGATTTGTAGGGCTCGATCCTGCAGCTTCGTAACCTCAATACGATTTCAATCGCTTCCCATTCGAAGGTTCTTTGAAAGCCTCGGTGTGTTCCGAGAAAATCTCAAAACGCAATGATCACTTCTACCTGTGGGTGGCTCCACACGTAGGTCAATCAAGTAACCATGTCTGGCAATTACGACAATAAAGGTTGAAGGCGTACTTCCAGTACGACTGCTGGTCGGAATATTGACCTATTGCTCGAGCGCATGTTCGTGCATCCAATCGAGCACCTTCCTCCAGATTACCCTCCCTGTTTTCAGCAAGCTGCCGAGCAACATGGGGCAGGATTTGGTCATTAACAATCAGAAGTTGACGCGGCCACTTCCGCCTTTCTTAGCAACTAACCAGGATCCTTCTTCTCTTTTCGCGTAGAAGCTGGTCTACGATAAACACATACTATAAACACTAACCTAATTTATGTTCTTAGAAAACAGGATACTACCTGAACGTTAGTAGAACGCATGGTAACTGGAGCCTCCTAGTGGTTATATTAGCACGTTGTAAGCAATAGGACTCCTCCACCAGTCTGAAAACCGGGCCTATCAGCACTGTAGCACGCTAAGTGTATAAACAGAACACTAATAGGGTCGTCTGGAGAAAATCAGCAAGCCGATATAGCAGCCACATCAATACGCTCACAAGCTTTACTAACTCTCCCCATTTTTATGCACATTACAGCGATTGGTATACCACACGCTTAATCGCTCCCGGCTCTATGACCGAGGGGACAACCCGTTTTTATACCATTTCATTTCCGTCGGCTGCCTGAGTCGATGAACCAACGCAGGACTGCTGTAAAGCATTACGGGATATTCCCTTTTTTGGCTTCGCCCTCCTGGGCTTGCTGGACAAACTCCCGAGAGGCTTTAGCCTTCAAGTTAGTGCGTCCGGTGCTAAATGATACCTACCATTTGTCTGACCTGCAACCAACCCAGCCTTGTTAATTGGTATGTCCCGGTGTACAGGGTTCCTAAACCGAACCCGGATAGGCCCTGCCTAACCTCGTTGGCGAAGTGTACCTGTTTCGCTCCGGCAGCCAACACCATGTACTCCTTCGGTACTGACGTATAACGGTATTCCGGCTATGCGAAGCATATCGTGCACTAGCTTTCTAGCTAGGTCCCATCCAGTTTTAGCCTCCCGTATAACCGGCTCCTCCCTATTTTAGACAAGTAGGTTTCATTGTCTACCTATGGCGAGTTCTGCCCTTCGCGAGTAATATTCCACTGAAGACCACAACTTATCGACTTTTGAATCCAACGTCTCGATTAGCAAGCTCTGGTCACGTATCAACTTTTCCACAGTGGTTAGTCTATGCACACAGTTCCTATCAGCAGAATCATGTACAGCTAAGACATGAGTACTTGGATCAAAAGTCCGATGGTGTATCAAGCGAGAACATGTGTCTGCTAAACCCACACAGTGGAAGCGATTCCAATTTAATTGGGGATGTTGGGCATAAAGATCAATAGAGTCCTGGTCTAATGTAAAGCAATTATTATGGTACTATAACAAAAGCTGTCGCACGAAATTGACCATTTGGCCTCAACGCCACAAGTGGGCTCACCACAAATAAAGTCAGCCTCCGACGTCATTGCGAAGAGTACGTAACAGACAGGTATAAAATAATAAAAGCTAGGTAGTTAGGTAGGATTAAATGACTGAACTGATGCAGGTAGGACGGTGTAAGATAAATAAATAGTCACAAAAGTTAATAGAATACAAGGTGCAAAAATATTAACAACAACAGTAAACAGCTTGAGATAATACGACGAAAAGGAACACAAATAGATGCAATATTGGAACGAACTCACACGGTTAAGATCCACGATACCTAAGAGCAACACTTGATGAAACCGTATTTTTCTCATTCAGTCTCTGTGGAATACTTCCAAGCAAAAGTTGAAGGCAAAAGTCTCGAGTGGGAGATTTTCAAAATTTCAAACGCACATAATGGAACTACCGAAAGGTTTATTGAACGGTAGCCAATCTAGCTAATGCTAACGACAAAGCACCAGGAGATTACCAGCTAGGGAAGATGTCGCCGTGTTTCGAGTGCGTTGCCCAGTGCCAGTGGCGGTTGATACAGCTTCGTAGGCGGATGTGTCATTAGATTCAACAACGGACATGTGTAGTTGCGCTTCGAACAAGGAAGGATAACAACCATGTATGTAAAACGCTTAATTTCGTCATACGTAAGCAATCCATATTTAAATTATTTCGAATTGATTTCAGCTACAAACAGAGAAGCTGTAGGCAAATGCAAGTCTGTAGCAAGTAGAAGTCACGAGTAAACTTCACACAATAATCTGCCTCGACGGGGAATCGAACCCCGGTCTCACGAACTAGCGGTCCGTTGCTCTGCCACTGAGCTACCGAGGGCTGATAATTATGTGCGCGATTCAATACATGACTTCTGCTTGGTGCGCGACGTATTGCCAATGAGCTCACAGTATCTGTCCAGGTGTTGCAGATTGGCTCACTCACTCATCACTTCCCAATGGACCGAATTATCTGTCCTTCCGATAGCCAAAGGGCGATGGTAGATTATTTGTGGAGTTTTTGTGTAATGTTTGTAGAAAGTAGCGCACAAAGCAGAAGTCGTGTCATAAATTGCGCACATGATTGTCAGCCCTCGGTGTATCTGTGGTAGAGCAACAGACCGGTAATTCGTGGGACCGGGGTTCGATTCCCCGTCGAGGCAGATTATTGTGTGAAGTTTAACCGTGACTTCTACTTTCTACAAACATTATCCTACTCACAAAATTCCACGAGTAATCTACCATCGTCCTTTGGATATCGGAAGGACAGCTAAATCGGTCCACTGGGAAGTGATGAGTGAGTGAGCCAATCTGCAACACCAGGACAGATACTGTGAGCTCATTGGCAATACGTCGCGCACCAAGCAGAATTCATGTATTGAATCGCGCACATGATTATCAGCCCTCGGTAGCTCATTGGTAGAGCAACGGACCGGTAATTCGTGGGACCGGGGTTCGATTTCCCATCGAGGCAGATTATTGTGCCAAGTTTAATCGTGACTTCTACTTCTGCGAACATTACCCTACTCACAAAACTCCACAAGTAAATGCAAGTCTGCGCAATTCGTCAAATGCAATTACTAAGCTGAGAGTCACATTCTTTTTCCCCTTTATTATAAATACATTTTGTCCTTTCTGTTTTCCTACACATATATGTTTGGTGGTTATGCCTAAATGTTTCGCTTCTCTGTTAGTGCTTCATTTTTTGCTACTCGTACCACGCGCTGCTCTGACAGCTCAGTTGCCCACTGCGGTGTCCATTTTCTCCCGATGTTGGGTCGTAAGCTCTTTGTTGGTGGTCTCAACCCGGTCACGGATGATTTCAAATTAAAGGAGTTCTACTCGCAATATGGCACAGTGACTGATGCTATTGTCATGAAGGACTTCGCCGGACGATCAAGGGGGTTTGGCTTCGTAACTTTTGGAGATTCACACATGACTGATAATGCATGTGATAACCGGCCACACGAAATCGACGGAAGGGTGGTAGATGCTAAAAAGGCTGTACCGAGGGGTGAATCGCATCCAGAACCTGATATTCCCGTTAACAAAATCTTTATTGGTGGTCTAAGGCGCAATTTAAGAAACGAGGATCTTGTGGACCATTTCTCTCAGTATGGTGTGATCGTCGAAGCCGTCGTTATGATTGATAAGGAAACTAATCATTCGAGAGGATTCGGCTTCGTCACCTTCAATGACACGGATTCCGTTGATCGGGTTGTTGCAGCAGGCCCGCACACGATCGGTGGTTCCTCGGTGGATGTGAAAAAGGCTATGCCACGGGATGATACGAAGGGTGGCCGAAAGAATCATTCATTCTCCTTATTGGCCGCAGCAGTAGGTAAGCATTGGCTTCCCCTTTTCTGGGTCGTAGCTAGGTAGTTAAGTTCTGGGTTCAACTTCATCAGCGACACTACCTTTGACTCCATTTTAGGTTGCTTTTGCAACGGTCGCTGTGACCAACGGCCCGCTGGATGTTGGTATCATCTTATATAAGGAGATTAATTTAGGGCACTAGAATGCTTAAATGTTCCTTTTGTGGGCTTTTATTACTTGCGCCCTTTATAGGATCAAACTCGGCGCCCACTTATCCTCAATGGACTCAGTCAGTACCTTGGTCCCCCAATGTTGCTCCCCCTTCGGCACCAACTGGTAAGCCTTGTTGTTTACTTGGACATTTTTAAGGAGCATATGCTTCTCAGAATTATTGGAATCAGCAGCCCCCTACTAATATGGGCTCCTATCCCAGTCAAAGCTACGTCGGTGGTCCCGTTCGGGATAACTCATATCGAGTGCACAGTGCGGCGCCCCCTTACGGTACTCGCTTTTACCTTAATCTACTTCTTTTCCAGGCCGCCAAATGTACTAAGTCGTTCGTGTTTACATTTCAATACACTTTAACTTGCAACCGTCGTTCTTTGCTCTACAGTGGCGAAGGCCGACACGCGGCACGACTGCATAGCAAGTTGTACATCTTTTGTCGGTATATATGAATAGTTATAGTTACTATAGTCCGATTGACGTTAAGCATAACAGTTTTTTTTATCAAAAAGGAAGGTTTTCCGCTTATGCTTCGCCGTCCTGGTTGTAGCTCGTGCTTTCCCGACGCCATCATTAGTTGACTTGACGGTTATCCCGCGTTTTAGCTTCATCATTAACAGCCCCCTTTAGTTGATATAACCCGAGCTATCACGGCTGATCTGAGTAGCTTACTACCTTTTGTTCGAACCAGGTTTCCGCTTTAAGCATCTGACACGTTAGCGCTGCATCCTAATATCCACACATCGATCCTGCCTATGTTTGCGCATCTCGCCAGGCCGATTGTAATCCCTTAGGACTACAGGATAACGAAACACTGTTAAAATGCGCTAATGCGCTGCTGATGCTCAGACCCCATTACTTATTGATAAACCAGTGGACGATGAGCCAGGGCTGGAAATCTGGTCACTACGTTTACCAGCTAATGTGGCCACAGTGGTGTCACACTCAGTTCACTTGATGGGAAAGCGCGGCTGGCACTTCCATACTCAGCTACAAACAACACAACAGTCTTATATTCGTGCAACTGCACTGTTATCTCGTCTTCACATAAACTTTTGTTCAATCTCCCCTTGCATAAACTAGGTTTTCAGACTGTTTTGCACTGCTTGTTGTACCTAATGGGTGGTTGGGTAATACATATGTGGTTGACGACATCCGGTTCCAGATTTAGCTGTCACTACTGCCTCCAGGATGCCTGCACCTACAGGGTGGCTTGCGCCGCACCACCCACAGCTCTATCCATGCACTCCATATCCGGTGTAAACCCGAATCAGACCAGGTATGTGGATGGCAGCCACGTTTCATCAGCGGGGCGGCGCACGCTCCTTCAACATGCACATCTGCTGCATTCCAGTCAGGTAAATAGGAGAACTATACGTATCAGACATACTCAAGGCGGTGACTGGGCCGTGTCCGGTTCCATACTGGATGTACGGAGCCACTGAGCCTAGGGCCGCCACGCGGACTGTGCACCCAGTCCCCTCCAGCAACAAGCAGCTGTCTCCTGGAGCCATTATAGTCGAGGTGTTGTTTAATGCTGTTGGGGCGACGCAATCAACCCTGAATAGTCTCTAGAGTAGTTTCACTTGTGGTCTGCGCTTCGCAGGATCAACACACTTGACGACCCCTTGATAGAGAGGAAGTCGAGATGGTTGATCAATGTACTTGCGTTCGCAACTGTATCAGCAACTTTGGGCGCATAACAGCTGAAGTCAGTTCACGTATTGCAAAAGCCAAGATCGCGTTGTTGAATCTGCGTCATCTTTGGCGACAAAAAGGAGTTCCCTGTGACTGAAAGACCGTGTTTCCAAGACCACAGTGAGGGCCGTCCTACTCTATGACCCCTTCCTTCTGAGGATCTGAGAAGCCCTCAGATCTTTGATCATCGCTGTCTGCGGAGCATTACTTGTGTTTTTTTTTGCGCCAGCGTGTCCGCAACGTTGCTTTGCGCAGGGGAGTACTAGCCAGTGGTAACCCAGGTAGTGCCTTAGAACAACGGATAGCGCTGAATAAGTTGCGTTGCCTTATGCACGTATGACGGATGATCAGTTACTGCTTACCGAGGTCCTTGTTTTGTTTGCCTGATATAGGATGGTGCTAGCCTCGAGGTGGACAAAACGACTTGGTAGCGGGAAATGAAGTCACTGATGACCAAACAGGATGCCATCGGTCCGTCTTGACTTCCACGCTGGAGTCTATGTGACTCGCCTTGTCTTTGACACTAAAATGTGTCAGCTGTTCGCCGTAGCTACGCTTCGCTGCCGCGCGACCATCAGCTGTCGCGCGCGGACTGAGTGTACCGCGAGGACGCCCACCCCTGCACGGATTCGAACCGGTGACCTTATGATTACGAGCTAGGCGTGCAGATCACTCGGCCACCGGCCGACGCTTGGCTTTAGACAGGACATGGCTCGCAGTCGACATCAGTGGCGTGTCCGCTGCCGTCGCCTCATTATCGGACTGCCCGTTTAACGTGTTTGGTGCTGAGTTATTTGCGGGGTAATGGCTGGTCATCACTCGGAGCAGTGAAAACCGCAAAGAAGCTGTTTCGCCGATGCCACATTCTTTACACGATAGCCAGCTGTTTGTGACGGTATGCTGTTGACAAGATGGAGTCGCCTTGACCCTGGATACTTGCTCAGGGCATTAAAGTTTTCCAGTAAGTTCCCCTTCCTCTTATTATTCTTTGTACGGTAAATAGTAATGGTTAGATGGCAGTGAAGCATCAGTTCAAATGACTGATGTACTGCTGTTGATGATGGTGATAATCCTGATGAAGTGGTAGACACTTTATCAACATTCACATCAAAATCAGCGATACCGGGGATATTAGTCAAAAACCAACACAAATGCAACAAACAGTACAAGCAACCACACGTAGAGACCAACTGCAGCAAAGATGCGGCACACCTACCACACCAACCCCCAGAATGGCCTGGGTTAGTAAATCGTATGGATGCGAACGCAGCGCGCCTACCAATCACTGCGCTGATTATGCTAGCTAATCAGCTGACTTGCCCTCTTTTGGGTGCTGAGCACACGTGGCAATGCTGGTTGTTTACCAGACCCGCTTGGCTCAAGCACTCGCGACCGCATCTGCTACAGCACCATGCGCTCGACGTCGATGGCTTGGAGTCCATTAGCTCTTGTCTCTTAAGTACGCGACGTCTCCTACGCGTGCACTAGTGCCCTTTTTTGCACCTAGCCACCCCGCCATTTTGGTATGCCCTCCCTATTCGCGCTGATCCACTGCCATCGCTTCCCAACACTTAAAACCAACATGAGTTCGTGATAAACTCATCTTGACCATGTTCTGATAACGCAACTTCGATTATTCCACATGCCGCTCTCCTGCGTTAACTTGCCCATATAAGAGCTGCTTGGGTATTCTCGTTGAATCCATGCCTCTGATATGCCCCAGTCACTTCAGGTGCTTCAGCAGTAGGCAGTTCACTGCGGTGCACTTCCGTATCTGCTACTCTATCGCATCAACCGATGCACAGAATCCGTCGCCTACACTTTTGGTGAAACCGCTACACATATCTGACATCTTTCCGGTATAGTGTTCAGGTTTCGCTGCCGTATAGAATAACGAACAGTACCATGGACTTGTATAATATCGGGTTCATCCCAACGGTAAGATAGTGCTTGTTCCGCACACGCTTTTCCAACTTTCCAAACGCATCGGCAATTTTCGATACGCGTATACGTAGTCCGTTCACCGCGGTATAGCCCGCGTGCGACTGATGGTCGCGCGGCAGCGAAGCGCCGTTACTGTGTAAAGTTGACACATAATAACAATAAGCTTGCTCACCACCTACTGATCGGTCGAAAGTACATTAACCAGGTAGCAAAATCCCGAGGTAATTTCCAAGACCTTATCACCGATATGGATTCGCGGCAAACATACAGATCCTATTTCTGGTGTAAGCTGAAAAATGCAAGCAATCTTGCTTGTGTCGACAGCACGAATTCGGCTGCTGTAGAAGTCATGTGTTGCAGCTTATCCACACTGTGCGCAAACAACGCACAGTCGTCGGCAAATAGCAACATACGGATGGTTGCGCCACACACTAGGGTTCTCGCCTCGAAACGACGGATGTTCAGCGACCCACCACACGGACACCGTAATCACATTCAGTATCAAATGTACAAGACGTTCAGTTGTTGTGGAGTTCTCCGAGCTGGGCAACTTGGTTGCAAACGTTTCGCCACCATTCGAGGTGGCATCTTCAGTGCAGGATTGGGTTTTGCTTTCTACCAGCTACTGCTACTTAACTGCTATCAATCCTGCACTGAAGATGCCACCTCGAATGGTGGCGAAACGTTTGCAACCAAGTTGCCCAGCTCGGAGAACTCCACAACAACTGAGCAAGCCTCCCGAGCTACCAATATTCCAACTCATTTTGTACAAGACGTTGCTTAAAGGTAAATATTAAACAGGGCAGGGGTTTAGACACAGCTTTGATTCACACCAGAGACAGCAACAGTCATCCGAGGAATGTTCATCCAACTGCACCTTCGCCCGCGTACCACCAAGTTAAACTTACTCGACACCAACCACAGTGCCTCGCGGTTCACCGCATTAAGTTTATATACAACGAGCACAGTTGTTGGTGCCGCTCTGCATTTCTCCTGCAACTGACGAACCACAAACACTATATCTTTCGTGCTGCAGTCCAAACGGAATTCGCATTGCTCTTCCTCTTGTCCTATCCAACGATCTGAGTGACGAGGCGGTTGAGCAAGATTCGCAATATCACCTCATTATGTCGAGGTCACCATACTTCGTGCCACATTGCTTGCTCCCTTTGCTCTTGTACAGTGGTAGCACAGACATTCTTCCGCTTGGTCAGCACATCCTCCACAATCCACACGCGTTCTACCAAGTGGTGCAGCGCATTCGGCAACATGGGTTCGCCGTGTTTCAACACATTTAACGGTATCCCGTCGGCACCGACAGACTTACCGTTTCCCAGCTGTGCAAGTTCTCTCTGCGTCTCATCCAGTGTCGGTGTGTCAGCAAGACATCTTCATCTATAGCTGTTGCAGCCTGTGCAACACAGCCCAGTCACTTACTGAACGGTTGTTCAAGAGACAGTCAAAGTGCTTTCGTCAGATCTGTATTATATTTGTAGTCTTTGCGCAGGCATCACTTGAAGTGGCAACGGACCGCCTTCTCAGCGGCTG